TGCCATACTGGACCATCTAACATTACCTGACACCTCACAAAGTTTTTCACCATCGAGCACACAAGCCGCCATCTTTTTAATTTCCTTTTACCGCCAGTGAGCGGGAACGAGGCACGAACGCAAGAGATCACGGGATACTACGACTTTTGACAGGGGTCTGGTAGGTGGGCGAAAACACGTACTGTATTTATTTGCCCATGGGTTAAGATAACTTAGTGCACATTTTGAATTCAGAAATATGAGCTTAAAGAGGCTGCAAATTCGTATTAATTCCTTCTATCTTCAATTTTATGATTGGATACTCTAAAAGGAATAGAGAAAATTCTCCGAGAAAATGCCTTTGAACAAAAGAAAAGAAACCCATATTAAAATTTAATCCCAGGTTAGCCTTAATGGGCCTTCAGACAACTGGGGCCCTGGGCGTTTCTTAAACTTTTGTCCTTGAAAGTGGGCGCTTATTTGAGGCTGGGCACTTATGATAATAATAGTAATGAAAACATGTTCCAAAGCAAAATCTAGCCTTCTCCGCGCTCCTTGCTGCTGGTGACGTTTTGCAAGGAGGAACATCTCCAACTCAGCGACAGAAATTCCATACCGATGATGAGAAATAGTAGTTTTCGCAGGCTAAGCAAAATTTTAACTGTTCATTGAAAGTTTCTTAAAAATACTAAGAAAATTAAGTCAGTCTTTGGTGGAATCCCTACCTGTAGGTCAGTTTCAATCTCATTATCAGAAGGTCTTTTTTATTTGATATTTTATATTTTAATCGGTGGGGGGGATTGGAGTTGGAAGCTAAATTCAAGGCTGGGTGCTATGCCAGTTAATTAAGGTGGGTATTTAGTCAAATTAATATAAAGTTAGTTGGACTGAGTAGAAGGTATTCAAAGATATATTTCACTGATATTTAAATTCAAGTGTCAGCTGTTAAGTCACTTTTGGTATCTCCTTTTCTTTATCTTATGGCACCAACTAGAGATCTGGGCCATCCTCACAAAGACCCAGAGGTTGCTTAACTGGGACAGAAGAGCATCCAGTTTGCTTTCATTACATAGGAAACTTTCGTTTTTAGTACTAACAGGTAAGGTTTATGCTATAAACTTGCTCGTAATATAATCTAGTAGACCTTGGGAGCGATCCATTCAACCAAAATTTCCGGAAATTTCGGTCCAAAACTCAATGGATCGGTTCGGTCCAACCGGAAAAGTTTCGAAAAAACAGGTCCACCTTTTGAGGTGGTCCTCTTTTCCCGGTCAGACCGGTCTGAATTTTGGTTGAATGGATCGCGCCCCTTGGCAAAAGAGAATATCTTTGCAAAACAAGCCGAAAAAANACAACAAGACTCACTCTCTTTACATATTAACATGTTGACAGTAAGCTCGGACTTCAGCATACGAGGTGCCACTAGCAGCTGCTATCAGTCCATGTATAAGCTTACTGTAACCCACCCATAGCCCATAATATGAATGATGTGTGATGCGTGAAAGGTAGACTGCACCACCGGGAACTTCCCCTACTCTTTTTGAACAGTAGTGCGGGTTCTTTTACGTCCCCTTCAATGTTGACTAATGAAAGAAGGATGGAGGAGACAAGGCCAATGGCTTAATGGCACCACCCAATGACGCAATCATTTTAACCAGGGTTTGAACCCATGCCCTCCCACTTGGCAGACCGATGCCCTTCCAACTGAGCTAAACCTAAAAAGCCCTGAGGAGGCTGGATAAGAAGATAATTACATTCACAGTAGCTGAATTCACAGCAAAAATTACATATGCCTGACTGGAAGTACGAAACAATTCATTACTATGGACTTACTAACACCTTTTTTGGCCCAGACATAACAATTTTGTCACTTCAACTCATGTCTTCTTGATGGACATAGAAGGGCAACTTTAAAAATTTAATACAGTTAACCCTCTCAACAACAGCCACTTTGGGGGTAGAGGAAAGTGGCTTTGTAGAGAGGTGGCCAGTGTAAAGAGGTTGAAACAAGAGTGAATGTATGGACTGTCCGCCAAAAAAATGGCCTTTGTAGAGAGGTGGCATTAGTGGAGGTTTGACTGTAGCCATAATAAATGATCATTTCTTCCTTTCTTTTCACATCCCACTATTATGGTTCCCTGCTGGTATGGACACTATACTTGGGTCCCAAAAGAATAAGCAGTGGCTGGATACTGACTGGGTACTACTATTGTAATAGTTTGTGATAATAAGCCTGCTTAGCTTTTCCTTAGGGATATCCCTGAAAATATAATTTGTGCGCGCCGTCGTCAACTGACGTTCCCGTTCTGTTGCTAAATCAGCCTATTGTGCAGGCAAAACTGAGGTTTAATAATAAGAGAAGGTGAGACAAATAACAAGGAACTGCAAAATTTATACAAAATGATTTCTTAACAGCTTCTTCTTTTGTGGAAACAGCTTTACATTTTAATAACAGTCAATAACACATAAGACCATAACACTTTCTTCCCACAATCAATGGCATCATCACAACGCGCTAACTATTCCTTGGCATCACATCAATGTTCGCTGATAGGCTTCTCGCGTGTCAACATGAGCAAAACTCCAGGCCCAAGGACTCCACAGAAAATGGCTGTGAAAGCGACAGCTTGGTGTAGAGGTGTCTGAGGAAGAAACATATCAAAGTTTAACTTGAAGATTTTTCAGAACTATAATCCAATTCTAAGAATATCAGTGAGTTTGCCCCCTAGTGAATTACACCCTTACAAATTTGCCCCCTAATTTCTGAGTCAGCCTCCAACTTTCCTACAGTTAAAAACGTCTATAACAGTCTTGTATTTGTGGATAACCAAAAGTTTAATGCAGGTTAAATTCAACGTTATCATCGTATCTCCACTTGTGCGTGAAAATTTTCCAAATATAGGCTTTACCATACCCACAAGCAAAATAAATAAACAACTTCGAAGGACTGCATATTGCAGGGCATCTATTTATGACCCAGCAAGGTGTCTTAAATAGGTTAAATCAATATTTCAATTAAGGCAGATGGTAAACCTGTGCTGGAACGGTCTAGATCGATACATATTTGACTCTGTGAGTAAATCGCAGCACCTAACCTTTATTTTTTCTAAACTGAAAGCACAGCACCAGAAAAATAAAACAAAGAAAAAAAAACAAAGAAAGAAAAGAAAATCCAATAGTAAATTCAACAGTTAAAGCTTAATTAACCAGTGAAAATAAACAAGGATAAGGCTAATATTCACAGGAATGGAAAAGTGCTATGTTAAAAATACAGACTCACCATCCTTTGTGGCGTATCTGGCCGCCGACCAGCAGTAGCCATTGATCTGCGAAGTAAACCAATCCTTAACGTACTACACGCCTGACGCAATAACATGATGGAAAGCACAGTAAAACAACGGTGAAATCTTCACAACGTCTTGAGATCTGTATTTCTACGTCCAAGATGGCGGAAAGCAGCCAAGTTGTTGCGGTTGCTTCTAAGAATTATGGGTACACTGGAGCCCAGTTTTTCGCGGACGGTCTTTCCATTTTTTCCCTCTTTTTCTTCCATTTTCCTTTTCTTATTTTTCTTCCCAGAATTTTTAAATTAAAATCACTGATCATTACGTTATTCCATACGCTCAAGAAGGATAAATGCTTGACGGATAAGTTCAGTTCTGAAAATGAGGGAAATACAGGGGGAAAGGCTAAGGCCCCTCCCTATTTCCCTTCCTCCCAATCCCCTTCACCTTTCAACTCCAGCTATGCAGGCTATTTTTTCTATTTTTTTCGCGAAAGGGAGGGGGGCGGAGAAAATAAGGATCAACTGGATAAGGCCGCTGAAAAAAACAATGTACATGTACTCAAACGCAACAACATAATCAGTTGAAATAGTTCATTATTAGTAAAACTTTTGAAAGTCTACTGGTCTCCTATAATGGGTAACCAGAGCGTTTTTCTTGCATACGGCGGAATGCTTAACCAGGGTATTGATCTCTTCTAACTGGGTAAGATTTATACTGTGCATAGATCACCAGGGCCCATAAAGCGACGTTAACTTTGCACGGCAGCGTTCCACTCACTCTACGCACACTCTGTGAAATTGTTCGTTAACCGGTTTCAATATAACACGAGCGAGAAAACTGTCCGTTGAAAAAAGGGTTTTAGTACAGTGGATTTCTACTGCCGAGATATGGTTAACTTAGCCTGCCAGCCCTTGCCTGATAGCAATAAGCTGTTTCTGAGTTGCACCAAGCCTCTCTTTGAAAACGAGGGTAACTGCTTGACTAGTCCCTAGGTCTTATTATTCCGTGCAGCCTATGCGTCCCAGGTCGCTTGGTCCGACATGCATTGACCAAGAAGGCCTGGAAAGGCGCTGTACAGGGCCAAGGCAAAGTAAGTGTTCGGAAAATAATTTCCATTTGTCATGAAAATGAATGAAAAGGAAACACCTTGCCATAATATGATGTGAAAGGTTTCGAACTTGGTCTCGCTCTGAGGGTGAGGGTTTTGGAAACTCTTAAATGACCTTCAGTACCCATAAACCCAGACACACAGTACACTTACAGTAAAAGCCCAAGTTATCAATCTTTAATAATAATTACAGACAGTACAGAGATTGAAAGTTATTCTTATCATTGACTTCTCTCTGGTTAATTTTACCCAACTTTGCAGGATATATTTCAAAATCTAAGTTAACCATACATGTAAATATGGTAATAGAAAAGTCTCAAAGTAAACATGTCTGTTTTCTTAGAAAACAAAAACTAACATTTCTTAAAAAATATATATCATTGCTGTACCAGAGACTCAAAACCGGTTGTAACACCCTCAAGAGTTTCTGTAAGTACCCAGTAACACCAACTGGAGCTATTGCATCTTTATACATTTCCGAGAAACGATCCGCCCACCTCTCCCCTAAGCCAACATTTTGCCCTAAGTGAGAAGTAAGTGTTAATGTTGGCTTAGGGGAGGGGTAGGTGGGCAGTTTCCCAGAAACGTATAATCAAGCTATTTACAGTGATTGTCGTTTCAGTCTGTTATACTCTCTCATATAATGATTCTTTCTTCAGACCAAATACTTCATAGTCCTCTACTGTAAAATTGTAGTCCCCCATGAGAATGCTTGTAGAGGCCTGGGGCCCATCATAGGAGTGAGGCAAATTAGAGTAGGACTCAGGCCTCTCATTGCACTCATCACTTATACACAGATCAGCACCAGCACCAAACATGGGACCATACCTACAACGGAGAAACCAGCACACATATGTGTTGTTCTTAACCAGCTCTCAAATTCAAATGTCTCAAATTTAAATTGCAAGATGCTAAACTAGCATGCAATACACTGAGGTCAATTTAGAAAAAAACTTTTACAAGTGTATTATTCACAAGTATAGCCATTTTTTTAGAGTTTAAAAACAATAGCTACGCTATTGTAAACTACCCTTGTGAAAGTTTTATTAAATTGGCCCCTGGATTGATGAGGTTTTATAGGAAAAGTAACACCAAAGGACTATCCATTCTCATATTCCATATACAAGCAGCAGTTATGACTGTGAAGGAGGGTGAAGAGGTATTACTCTAGTAATAATCTCTCCTGGACTGCTAACTGTCTTATTTTTCTTTAGATACAGCCCAGAGCTAACAAAGAGTTGGTATTCTAACCAGTCGACTTCATCCACAGAAGCAAAAGTTAGAAGCGCATGTTTACAATTTAGTCCTGTGTTGATAGGGGATACATAGCACATTTAGTCACCGGTTGGTGCATGGAATTAAAACACAATTACGATTTATTGTACATTTTTGTTTCATTTTGAGAATTCAAAAATAAATTCACTCCCGCCCATATAATCTTCCTGACGACAAACCTTGGATGATGAAGGGTGGCATACTTTGGGTTCACTAAATCAAACTTGCTTGGAGGGACACCTTCAGAGTTGACCAATGTAAACAGGAAACACCTGTCAAGATAAAAGATGAAATATTAACAACACCATCATTCTTAGCAGCAGAAGCAGGTGGGGTTTGATAATTATTAGCATTATATAAACACCAATGAAATACCAGGTGAGCTTTCGCACGAAAACTTGCTATCGTCACATGTGAAAATAACATGTTATCTTCACATGTGAAAATATCACCGTAGCTATGGCCACATGATGAATCGCGCCTTTCACACCAAAAAACTATTAAAGAGAAATGGTTTGGTATTTCATTGGTGTTTATATAATAAATAGAACATTACATGGCCACATTATCATTATGGTTGTCATAATAATCATAATAAATGATATTAGTGTCATGATTTAAATTGTGCAAACAATGGACCCCCTCCCCCCCCCAAAAAAAAAAAAATTTATAACACATTAAATTCAACAGTTTCTTCAGAGTAGCATGCAGTTTTGAGTGTCGGCATATACTTCATTTGTCTTTTGGGTGTAACTAATCGTGCTCATTAACTGAAACTAGCCTCAGTCTAGAAGTTTTAAAAGTCTTAACCAGTTTACAAAACATTGGAGGTGTATTCACACACCCTACACGGATATAATGCACATCCATATGCTGAGTTGCTGATAGGATTATGTTGCTTACAGCAACACCCATTAGAAGGAGAGCTGAGGAAAGAACTTCCAAAAAATAATAGCAATGATGAAGATGATGATGATAACAAACATGCACAAGATTGAAGATATTAATTCTTTCCTACCTATTAGAAGGCATGTAAGTTCCACGTGGAATATCACTGCGCCACGGTTGGTCACTGAATCCTCCACACAGATTCCCATTTGTACCCTGATAACAGTTGATCATCAACAAAAATCAAGATAGATGTAAAAAGTACAAAAGTTATAGTGCATGAAATAAGAGGAACAAACTTTTGGGACANAAACAGGAAACACCTGTCAAGATAAAAGATGAAATATTAACAACACCATCATTCTTAGCAGCAGAAGCAGGTGGGGTTTGATAATTATTAGCATTATATAAACACCAATGAAATACCAGGTGAGCTTTCGCACGAAAACTTGCTATCGTCACATGTGAAAATAACATGTTATCTTCACATGTGAAAATATCACCGTAGCTATGGCCACATGATGAATCGCGCCTTTCACACCAAAAAACTATTAAAGAGAAATGGTTTGGTATTTCATTGGTGTTTATATAATAAATAGAACATTACATGGCCACATTATCATTATGGTTGTCATAATAATCATAATAAATGATATTAGTGTCATGATTTAAATTGTGCAAACAATGGACCCCCCCCCCCCCCCAAAAAAAAAAAAATTTATAACACATTAAATTCAACAGTTTCTTCAGAGTAGCATGCAGTTTTGAGTGTCGGCATATACTTCATTTGTCTTTTGGGTGTAACTAATCGTGCTCATTAACTGAAACTAGCCTCAGTCTAGAAGTTTTAAAAGTCTTAACCAGTTTACAAAACATTGGAGGTGTATTCACACACCCTACACGGATATAATGCACATCCATATGCTGAGTTGCTGATAGGATTATGTTGCTTACAGCAACACCCATTAGAAGGAGAGCTGAGGAAAGAACTTCCAAAAAATAATAGCAATGATGAAGATGATGATGATAACAAACATGCACAAGATTGAAGATATTAATTCTTTCCGACCTATTAGAAGGCATGTAAGTTCCACGTGGAATATCACTGCGCCACGGTTGGTCACTGAATCCTCCACACAGATTCCCATTTGTACCCTGATAACAGTTGATCATCAACAAAAATCAAGATAGATGTAAAAAGTACAAAAGTTATAGTGCATGAAATAAGAGGAACAAACTTTTGGGACACCCTGTATATGATGCATCTTTGATTCCTGATGTTTACCACCAGTTTTTAGCAGTGAGAGGTAAGGCTATTTTAAACAAAAAAATGACATAGAAATCACTTGGAACATAGCCTGCGAGCGACCTCTCTGGGGCACTCTGGCAGTAGGATGGGAAAAGGAAGGAGAGCTTGCAACTACATGTCTGGAATTTGAATTCCACCTCCAATTCCCCTGTGGCTCCCCATCGACTTAGCTGTCAGATTGCTGCCAATCAGCACGAAGCGGAAACGAGTGCGAATGTAAACAACCATTAAAAAAAATCACATGCTAAGAGTAATGATGTCATTACTTGTGTCATCTCTGCCAATCAACATTTCACATTGACTTTTTCAATGCAGATATTTAAATTCCAGAGTTGCAAGCTCTTCTTCCTTTTCCCGCCCTGCCGCCAGAACACACTAAAGAGCTTGCTCACAGGCCAGTTAGTTTCCACAATGGGTGCCCTCCAGATTTTACTTACTAAAACAACAGTTAGGGTTGGTGAATGGCCGTCACACTTTGTATGAAATGACGCAGCTGAGAATCCATCTTTTGAAGCTCTATAAAGCAGCTGCCATTCCTGCTGCTCATTCCCAAACCAAACATTCAACACAGTTTGAAACTTCAGATGATCCTTGGACAAGAGACTTGTGTTATGAAACAACTTGTGAGATGCTCTGGGCCTCAAACGAGGATCTTCAGCTCTCTTGAAGTGACCGGGGACTGCTGCAAATCGATACCTGGAAAAGGAAAAAGAGCTCATTATTTTTTTACTCAAAATTTCTATCAATGCAAGGTGTGCTCTGAATGATTTCATTAGAAATTGCATTGACTCTTTCAATGAACTGAAACTAGTAGGATGTAAAAGGAACTACTCGGGACTTAGTATAATCTCTGGCAGTGATAAACCTTGGGTAGGGTGGGGAGGGCACCTTACATGGTACCCATGAGTCCCACTCATGCCCTCCCCACTAGGTAAGTGTGTCTTCGGCTCAGCTGGGGTAAAACAATAAAGATGCAATCACGACTTGGGAATAATTACCTCTCCAATGACACCTCCATTGGAACAACACCTGTAGGTTCCACCTCCTCGGCATAAACAGAACTGTCAATCAACAGTAACTTGATGTGTTCAATCACTCCAGACAGAGCCTTAAGAGGAATGAATACAAGAACAAAAATTTAACCNCAATCACGACTTGGGAATAATTACCTCTCCAATGACACCTCCATTGGAACAACACCTGTAGGTTCCACCTCCTCGGCATAAACAGAACTGTCAATCAACAGTAACTTGATGTGTTCAATCACTCCAGACAGAGCCTTAAGAGGAATGAATACAAGAACAAAAATTTAACCTTAAGGGGTGATGTGCTTTACTTCAATGACTGAGCAACTGGCATAGGTTTATAATTAACAATAAATTATTATTCCATGAGTGCGCATTAGATATAAGTTGGCTATAATTATCTCATATCCAACAAGTGTGAGTGGAATAATCATTTTATTTAAAATGCTCACAAAATATTGAGAATTCTTCCCGACTTGATTTGTAAAAAAAAAACGATTTTCAGCTTGTTTTTAATTTTGAGCAGACGCATACAGTTACCATTTTGGAAAGCATCAGGTTTAATGGCTCATATACCATGATGGCTCGGCCAATCAGAGCTCTAGAATTACATTATCCAGGGATTATCCAATGATTCAGGTTTTAAAAAAATTCATTAGTCACCAGTCACCAATATTTCACCATACTAGTCACTAGCAAGAAAACATTTCTAACATCTGCTATTTTTATGTCCAGACATGATTCAAATCAAAGTAAAATATACCTATCAACAACTAAATGATATAGTGACAACAAGGAACAATATTTTTTAATAAAAATATAAAAGCTGTCAATGGAAGCTATTAACATTAGATAAGCTAAATATCACCATTTCTTACATGTTTGTTACACCTTACCTCTCTTATCTTATCATTGTCCTTTTCTGTCCACTGATTGGTTGGTTTGCTTACACCTGAACTTCTTTTTGCCCATGATAGGACAGCCCGCCAAAGCTCCTCCTCTGAGACTGCAAACTGTGTGGTTAAAAAATAAGGACACCTCACGTCAAACTATCAGGTCAAAGTTCCACAATCAAAATACTGTCGGTTGCATCTAAGCACGTACATGTGAGGAAAAAACATGTTCCAATTGGGTGCAAACATGACATGTTTTGCTGCCAAACATAATTATTCAAAGCTTGGAGTACCCAACTGTTGTCGACTTGAATTGTTTTCACTCAACAAAATATTCTTTGCAAGAATTTTTAGATGTTAAGAAGGTAATTGCGCTGTTTCTGAGTCAGAAATATGCCTGAGAGTTAAGAAAAATGAAATATGAGCAGTCAATGCACTGATCAAAAACATATACCAGTAAACAACTTACTTTTTGTGTGACAGTTTGCTTTTTAAAGCAGTCGTTAAAATGGCTGTCAAACTTCAAATGTTTGATGGTAAAACACGTCATGTCTGGCACCTATTAGAAGATGTTTTTTTGTCTCCTGTCCACGCTTAGATGCAACCAATGGTAAATTGAAATTTGTAATCTCCTAATGGAGGTCTTATTCTAAAAGAGTGAAATATCTACTCTCACAGGTACCCACACAGAGGTTCAGATGATGATTTGATACGATCTAATCAAGTAATTTAGTGAAAAAAGTTCCGTCCGGTCGTCTGGGAAAAGCAGATTTTCTTCAGGGGCAAGTAACCTTTAAAGTCACCTGCCCAATGGGCAAGGGTCTAAGCAGGTCATCTGCTAACTAAATCGTTAACTAAGACAAGCAAGAAATGGCCCCAGGCAAGCAAAATGTGAGAGTTGCTTGCTCAAAGAACAACCTGGAATTCAAGTTTTTTTCGAGCTCTGAGTTTATCTATACCTGATCACTGGACACAAGTCTAATCATGGCTGCCTTTGGAAGTTGAAGAAACCCTTCAGTATGTATCACCTCCTCAGCATTCTCTTCCATGAATCCAATACATTTGTTCACAAGAGAAGACATGCTCCCTGCTCCGGCACCTTTTGCAAGAGACAGGGCATCTGCTAAAAACTCTGCTGCATTGTCTACACTTAGATTGTCCATGAAATACTGTTCACAAGCTAACTGTAGGTCAGTTATTTCCAGGTCCTCAGCAATCCTTAGCATCTCGAAAGCTGTACGGCTATGAAGCTCAACCTGGTACCCAAAGAAAAGGCATTTCCTGAACTTTGTTACCATTGGCCACAACAACATAAACATTCCTGAAATATTTCAGGGCACAGTTGTTCAAAGGCCGATTTACAATAACCTTATCATTAAATTATAGATAAAAAGAATTAAAATGAATTTGCTTTTGGCTTTCATATCTGAGTTCAAATTTGACACTGGTTTATCTGAACTCTGCTTTAAACAACCCGGCCCAATGCCCAGGTGTCCAGGTTTTTTATTTGCTTTTTTTCCCTTTTATTGTAGAATTAGACAAATTTTAAACTATCTACAAAGCAAGCAGTACTTATATATATTAAACTTGTACAATTAAAAGATAGCAGCATGATCTGCCGAAAAACAAACAGATCGAATCCACGGTTAGCTTTCAAAAACTAGATTACGGCAGAGTTACCTTTCCAGTGTAAACAAACGTGAGCACTTCACGGAAAACATCGGGTCTGAAATCGGGTTTTCTCACGGTCAGCTGCGAATGAACTGACTTCGAGGACCATAGCTCTCTTTGGCGATTACGGAAATGCTTACAACGAGCTACCAGCATCAGTCTGTGGGCATATACTGCAACCTCATCTTGCCCAACAAGAAATAAGACATCTGCAGAGTCACGATCATCGATAAGGTTTAGTAAATCGCGTAAAAGAGTCTCCACTCCCAGCCATTTCTTGTCCCTGGCTTGAAAGGAATCCATGTTTGTTTGCAAAACTCGCAAGGCGTTCCCACAACCGACTAGCACCAGGTTTTCGCGGACAGGGATGTGTTGGGTCCGCAATAAGGTCCGCAATGGATGCAAAGAGCACTACAGACGGGCGGCACGAGCGTGGGAGTAGTTCCCCTAGTTTGTTTACTCATATTACAGGATTCAGTTGTTGCATGCGCACACGCAACAATTGTAGAGATTTAGGTGACGCCAGTAAGCCAATGCAAAAAGAAACAAAGACACATATAACTCGAAGTCAAATTAATCCATATTTATTTTCTTTACTACTAGTTTTGAACATCTTGTGATCATAAACTGGTACCTCTTCCCCGCATAAAACACAAATTTAGCCAGCCATACATACATTGAAAGCTTTACGAAAAGCATCCTTCTCCCTTTCATACGGGGGTACCCCGGGCGCAAAGCATTCGCTTGTCCGTCTCTTATTCAAATAGGCCATCGCTGGGATCCAAATATATATTTAAAAAAATTTTAAAAAGGCAAGCGTGCAGGGGATGATGGGAAGAGGAAAGGGCGGGTGCCTCTCTTTATTTCCTCCCCTTCCCATAGTCCCCGCAAGCTTTCTTTTTTCTCTCTCCCCAACCTCCCTAAGGTACAAAGAGGTCTAGAACATGCCTGCAGCTCCATTTCAACTGTAAGACTACACTCTAAAATACTAGGCGCCGGTATTTTAAAGGCGAAGGAAGAAATCTTGAGGACGTGCGAGGGGAGAAAAGGAGAGGAGGTTTCCTCTCCCCTTTGAGTGTTCTCCTCGAGCGGCCTGTTAAATAATTAATAACCGGCGCCTGCTACAAAGGCTACTAAAATACAAGAAAAAGTTCCCTTGCAGATTGTTTTCCCCTTGGAGGTTGCGAGTCCTCAATTATTCCTGCCATATAACTGACCCTTTACTGTTCCAATAAGACTTTTCAATTCCTCTGGCAGGCCTCCCTGGTTCTTAGTGGCCTTATTCGGGGTGAGCCCGGCTCGGTTTAAAATCACCATTATATTGCACCCCAATACCAGCGCTGCGCCCACGATGCTGTAAACGTTAGCGGTATAATCCAAAAAGAGCAGCTGCAGAATGAAGGCCAAGGCGATGTCTAACGTTCGCACAAGAGCAACCACGCCTGCTCTCTCCAGTTGCACGGATCTTGTAAGAAGGGCCTGGCCACCTGTGATAATATAAATGGGAGGTTTTTGATTATCAGTTCCAGGGGTACTCCCTCATATTTCACCTGTGTTCTAAACAGGGTACATAATTTCGCACAAGTCTGTCCGTTATTATAAACAGGGTATTGCCTACACGATCGATCTGATTTTCTGGATAGAATTTGTTTGTACTCCAAGTATACAAACGCAATGGCTTTAAAACAAGGTGTGCATTTACTCCTTGTCCTTAACAGGGTAATAAAACTGAGGGTGTTATCCCAAACAAAGTATGTATTTTAGGATTTTTTTGTCCTACACAGGGTCAGGGTCTCAAACCCTCGGCGGCTCACCTGTACCCACATATTGGTCGAGTATCCCCCCCCCCCCCCCCCC